GTTTATAATATCATATAATATATTATATAATATTATATAATACATTATACATAGATTATTTGTACAAGCACAAACTCACAAACAGAGAGATAGAGAGATTCAGAGAGATATGAGTCTAATCGTTTCCCCCTCCCCCTCGCTTTTGAGGTTTTCAAGTGTTGACATTTTTTTACACCTCTCATTGGGTTCTCTCACGACTTAGGGTGTACGGTACATAATAACAATTCATCTGAAGTTCAGTCTATGCTAGAAGCCAACGTCAACGTCACAAATTCTAAGCCTTTTCAAGCATTACTGTTCTCGTCATTTTAAGATTGCTCTTTTTATTAGAAGATTCGGCTTAAGAAGTAAGCACCAACATTATGCTAAAAGTGGTGAATCTCAGTGCGATGATCGATAGCTCCAATCTAGTCTTGCTTGACCTCCTGTCTACTGTCCCTGGCTCTGATTCCCTCATCATTGGTAGGATAGCCAGCCGTGAGGCCATTAAGCTTTGCATCCTGTCTCTCTAAGTCTGGGACCCGCTAAAGCTAGAGCACCCCGTGATAGGGTATGAAAGTGCTCTATTTCAGTCTTTCTTATTTTCGCCTTCCGACTTGTTTGTTAGTGTTTGAACTCTGTCCTTTTTGTGCAGAATCCCGAACTGATTCAAGGGTTTTTTAAATGTTGCAAAATTCGTTTATGCTTGTTCTTTTTGCTAATTACATTTTTGTTACTGTTGTCTACGTTGCGGCTGTAAATGCTTTTGTTGTTATCGGTTTTTAAAAATATATCTAAAAGTTTAAAGTTGAATAGTTTCAACGCCCCTTTCAACAAGAATGTATCTACTGATATTTTTTTAAACATTCGAAATATAATTCCAACGTTTAGATCTAATTAAAAATGTGAGCGTCGCCATTTCAGTGGAGGTTTAAATTCGCACGAATAAAAGCAAACGGGACTCCCAATGCATTTGAGGGGTGCTCCAAAAGCTGAGTGCTGTGTTCTCAGGCGCATTTAATGATTTCAATCGTGTATCGGTGACACGGCGTTTAGGTTGGTGGTCACTGGGGTGTGTACTTGAGCAATTCACTATAACCCTGTCTCAAAGTCCGGGTGGTGCATAGTGGCGGCCAGAAGGGCTGTGTGGATTGTCTATATTTGGGGTATTGTGTATTATTAATGCATTAATGTATTCACGCAATTGTGTATTTCTGTACTTAACTGTAAAGCAAGTTTTCCAAGGGGATCAATGCAGTTAACTTTGTTTATTTATTTATATTTTGTTTAGTAGATATATTCCAAAGACGTAGTAACAGCAAGACTGTCGTCAATGTTATGCTATTGCAGTGACGGCCAAAAGCATCACATGACGGTCGAAACCTTAAGCCCCTAAACCCTAGGTTGTCCTATAAAAAGACAAGCTGGCAGCGTGTTATCATTAATGGTGTGCAGCTTCATCAGCTTCGAAAAAAAGTTTAAAAAAAAGAAAATAGCAACTCACGCAAAAATAAGGAACGTAAGGATTTGTTGCGTCTCTAGCTTCCTGCCATCAATACAATCCAGAGAGACCGTGCAGAATCCATTAAGATTTATGTCCCGGCCACTAAAGTCTGGCACTCGCTAAGGCCATCAGCCCTCATGATACGATCAAATCCTCTGTCTTTCTTAATCTAGGTTTTGTCCTCACGTTATTATCGCATGATTCTTCTCTTCCGAGGCACAGAGATTTGGCCTCCTCAGGCTAATATTTTTCACTACAATATAGTTCATCTGCTGATCAGGACGAAATTTGGGGCGAGCCATTAACATAAATCGTATGGTATTATGCCTCCTTTTAGCGCAGATGGCCCTTGTTCAAAATCTGAAAAGGTGGGGGGTTTTTTAATTGTATTTTTCGAAAATTATAAAGATTCTCCCTTCTTATTGCTTTGTTCGTATAGAGGATGCACGTTGAATTTGGAGCTTTATACAACCTTGCGCACTTTAAGGGTACACTGAATTTATATCAAGCAATACCCACAGACGAAGCGTCTTCAAAATCATATACTCGCTGCCTCGATGCCATAATTTGGGAATATGGTTGCATTCCAATTCATCCATAGACGTAGGTGTTAAAATTTAAATAGATGTTTATGACATCTCTAATGAGCTGTGTGCAAAACACAACTTTATGTTAGAATATGTTAACAGTCATAATTATGGAGTCTACCTCAAACAGATAAAAGAGGCATGGTCTTAGTCGCGAAAGGCTACTTTAAGGCATCCCACATAAATACCTGAAGGTCTAATTCATATACTGAACGGCATAAATAATGCGAAAAAGTAACACAATGTGTAGAAAACAAAACATAGTATTTTCGTGAGTTGTTTTCATTTGTCTCTATTCCCAGTGTGTTCTTGTTATTGGAATGGCTCGATTTATAAAGCACAACACGCTCATTGGCCGCTTCATCAGACAATGCAACAATGCAACCATCTCAATGGTACACAGTTAAAACGTGAATTGAATCGTGAATTTTTGCTCACAAGTTAAGTTGGTCTGTCCTATAAATTCTCTGTCCTAAAATTTTGATTAAGTATTATATAGTCCGAATATCAAGATGCCAAGATTATCTGCTGAAAATCGAGAAAGAGCTATCGGATGTCTGCAAGCCGACGAGAGCCCTCGGCAGATGGCAACAGTCCTGGGAGTGCATGCCAGCACTATCTAGATCTACCGCCTGCAAAACAGATTTCAGGCAACCAACTCCACGAGAGATCTCCAAAGAAGCAACTGACAAACAGCTGCCCAAGTCTGCTTCGTCGTGCATCAACATCGCCGAGATCCACGCTTGTCCGCCTCCTAGACAGCCTAGAACACAATAGAAACGCACGGTAGAGCCGTGAGTGACCGCACCAGACGCTATTGACATGTGGCCAGAGGGCTGAGTTGTCAGCGTCCGGAGCAGAGAGCACCCCTGAACCTCCATCATCGACGAGCTCGTCTCCAGTGAGTTCAGAACCACGTTGATTAGCATCTTCGACAGTGGCAGTGACGAGAGTGGCTTCAGTATGGATCCTGACAACAGACGTGTACGAATTTTGCGTCGCCCCGGACATGGCTACTCTGACGAGAACATGGGGGGAAAAGACCTGTGGGGAGGTCAAAGCGTGATGATATGGGGCGCAATCGGTATTTATCAAAGACTGAGCCCCATGATCTTCCAAAATTTAGGACCTGGACGTGGCAACGGAGTGACAGCACAGCTCTATATCAACCAAGTCCTGTAGCACCATGTTGCTCCATTTTCCCGGAAACATCAAAACCATCCCTTTCAGCAGGATAACGCTTGGCCTCATATAGCAAAAGCTACCCAGCAGTTCCTAGTCCAGAACAACATACCCACCATGCCTCACCCACTCCGATCACCAGATGTGAACACAATAGAACACCTTTGGGACGTCCTTCAGAGGCGTCTCAACCAACTCCAGCCCAGACCCCGGACAGCTGCACAACTGGGTGCTGCTATTCTTCAGGAGTGGGTGTAGGTCCCCAACTACCAAATCAATCGCTTGGTCCACTCTATGCGCCGCCGATGCACTGCTGTCATCAACGCTAATGGGGACCATACCAGATACTGACTGGAACTTAAGCCCCGAGGTCAAGGTCATTGTTGCCGAATAACAAAATCTGTCCCCAAGTTTAAAAAATCCCCAACTTTCAAGAAATGTTTTGTGCAATTTGAGACTCCTCAAACCTGTTTCTCTAAACAAAAATTATTGCTTCAATTTACTCTCCTCTTCTTGTGTCACGTGAATTCGCATTACTTTTGCCGGTAAGTATATTTGACCTCAAATCCGAAATCAACGACTCAAAGTTATTTTAAAACACCCAATGTTTCTCAGATGTCGGGTTGACCAATGTAGCGATTAATCAAAGAACTGTTTATTTTATTTTAAACTGACATTCTAATGAGCAGGTTGTCCCAAAAATGAAGATGGCCTTTGACCTCATTTGATTTGCAGTGTTTTCCTTTTAAGTTGTTTTTATCGGAAGGCATAGTCTTTCATATTTTGATCGAACAATAAAAACCCAGTGTTGAGTCTGAGGTTCAAAGAATCGACTCGGGGACATTTCACAATGTTATTCGAAATTTTAAGCTGTGTATTCGAGCTTGTTTGAAGAGAAATGATAAACACCTGAAGCATAATATATTTGCCTCCACCTTCCCTGATTTTATTTAGCTATGTCAGTTTTAACTAAATTTAGTTCTTTAATGCACATTATGATTGTTGTAAAACTCTGTTTGTTAATTTTTGTTGAACTTAATGTTTTTCAAACACGTCTTGGGATTTTTTGAATATATTTTTGTTTAATGTTTTTTAAAGACACCCTATGCACCTATTTATATTAAGCGGGTGGGTGGTTGGAGCGCGTTACTGTTGAGTACAACTTCTCGTCTGTCCCTCTTTACTCCATATTACTTCTCCCCAGCTCTAAATGAGTGTTCTTCTAGTCTATGTTCTTCTCTTTAATCAAACTCCAACTCCACCATTCACCAGGAGGAGCCCTACTTGATGAAGGTGGTCGCTCCCATTCAAGGCCTGCCGGTCACCGGCCGACATCGCTTTGAAGGATACTGCTCCGATCTGGCCGAGCTGGTGGCAGAAAACGTCGGCTACGATTACCACATCCGATTTGTAAAAGACGGAGAATACGGCAAGAAGGAACCCGATGGAACATGGAATGGTGTTATTGGAGAGCTCACGAGACATGTATGAGTTCTTATCTTCATTCTAAAGATATATTTTTCTGTTCATTAACAGCATCTACGTGGCTGATTAGGTCTACGTAATAAAAAGGCCAGAACCCAACTATTCTCTTTAGAATCACCTTTATAGAGATACATTTTTGCGCCCCCCCCCCCCTCTACCCACGTCTTTGCTCACCTGATAATCACAATCACAGCCAGCTGTTTCCTGTTCTTCTAAGGCATAAGTGCTATCCCTCTGTGACCCTTACAAGAAACCCTGGAAATTTAGCACATTTTAAAGTAATCTCTTTAATCTTATTTTTACACTTAAATTATTTGTTTTTTCATTTTTATTTATTCTTTTAGTTATTCTTATTTGGGGCGGAAAAGGGGGGGGGGGGTGAATTTAATGTTCATCTCTGGCACTGAAATCTAGATGGCATGGGGTAGGGGGTGGATTGGGTAGGTAACAAAATATCAACTGGGTTCGAAAAAAGACACGCAAATGCTCTAAAAGTTAAAAAGAAATATGTGAATGTTTATCATATAAGTTACACAAGTAGGACGATGACTACTTTAGAGTATATTCTCTGTCTTCTATTTATTCGTTTACTCTCGTTTTGAGTTTTCAAAGAGTGGGGTTTTTCAAATGACCTCCGCTTTTTGTGTCTTTAAAAGATGTAACTGTCAAAAGGGCGGGAACAGAGTTTCATCAATTAAACTTATATTATATTATTATTATAACTTTTGACTTTTTTATGTCAACAATTTCTTTTTGCATGCTGAAATTTGAATAGCCAAAATCTTTTTAAAAATTAAGTAAAGTGCTCTCAGTGAAGGACTGTCGGATCATGGGCCTGCAAGAAGAAACACGGCTTTAATTATAGGAAAACTATCCAGAACTATTGGGCTTTTTCACGAGTTCGTAACATGCACCACTGCCTTTCGTTTCGCTAGTCTTTAGCTGCTTCTCGAAAAAAAGGTTATTGAAAGACAATAAATGGATCAAGTTAAACAATAGATAAAAACATGAAATGCTTAAGTTCTAAAATTCTTACTTATGCCTTGATTCCCTCTGAACTTGTCAAATGAGTGAAAGCCCCCCCCCCCCAAAAAAAAAAATTGCATTGTTGACGACAAGAACAGGTAAATTATTGAAACGATTACATGTTTTTAAACTGTTAGCTCATTTCAGAAGAGCCCTTTTTTGCCATGCAAATGCCTAACATAATGGCCTACCCAGAAGTGCGATTAATATTATACAATCTGAGGAGTGAGTGTCTTTTTTCCCTTTCTTTACGAATGGCCTCAGAACTCGAGACTGCCTTTGGGCGATTCTGTAGTGGAGTATACATTTTTGACTGGCTGAGAATCACAGAGTATTGACATTACTGGCCTAAACCAGATTTTCTTTCCTGTTGGCCTTTATAATTTATTCATAAAGGCCTCAGCTTCATTGTCCGTTGTGTTAAAAGAAGCCCAGACGTCTATAAATAGCTTCTAGATGCTGGAAGAAAAAGAAAATCTAATTTAGGCCGGCAACGGTGTCAGCGTACCCGCGTTAGTGGATTATGAACACGTCCCTTCCTACGTCACGAGTTGCATGCTACGCACGCGCTCACTCTCAAAATACTCTGACATCTACGTCAACTACAAGAACGCAAACGTCAACGGGAATGTCAGCAGATTGAAGATGATCTCATACATTTCGTTTTTCTTTCGACAACTATTGTGTTATGTTGGCGATGGTGTGAACTTTGGTTGTTATTGGTTGTTTTTTAACAATGTAGTCCTTTTTTAAAAATAAACTTAATGGGGGAAAGACGGTTGGAAGGATTTGGTTGTTTTTTTTTAGTTTTGTTGTTGTTGTTATTTGGTTTGGGGTTGTTGTTCCAGAACAACATACAAAAAGTACATACTCGTTTCTTTACCCTAAAGTGCTATTTGTAAGGGTGTTAGAGAAGAGGGTATAGACTTTTAAAGAAAATAATTGTCAGTTTGTGTCTCAAAAACCATTCTTTGCACTGTTTATATGCTTCAGTTATAGTAGGAAACCCCCATTCTATTACTGCCGTATTAATATTTACCTTTATTTGCCGTTTTCTGAAAATGATATTTTTTCACACTTTATCCCATTTTCTGCTCTGTTTCTTATTCAATTTTAATGTATTTTTCACAGGATCTTGTAAACAAAATTTTGGGGCAGTAAGTGTTTTGCGGCGCTCGCAGCGGCATAAGGTCATATGAGAGCGCGTGACACTATAAACATTTTCAATAGGTAGGAAATTGAATTTTGCCCGGGTGGCGGCCGAGTGGAGACTCTTATCGATTTAGACTACCAAGGGATTTTTAACGTGGAAACCTGCACACGGACCTCCGAGATTTTTCACCCCTATCCGAGAAGGCTAGGCGTAGATATTTCCTACCAGAAAATCAGGGGTGGGGCTGAAAGACTGCAGTAAGAAGGAGCCAAGGAGTAGCAGTAGAAAGGCTGCAGAAAGTCAGGAGCCCAGAGGAGGGGGCAAAGGAGGTGAAGGGGTGGAGGTAGAATGTGGAGACGAAAGCAGGCGATAGAACATTGCTAGAGAGCAGGAAAGGAGGAGAATGGAGGCAATGTTAGAGAGGAATTTCTTTTTATCGATACCCGCTTGAACCCGGGATCCTTGAACGAGAGGCGAACACTTTAACATCTAGACCATGAGAGCCCCCACAGGATCTTAACAACACCTAGTTCTAAAAATTTATAAGAGGAATTTTTGATTGCGTATGTAGCTTTTCATAAATTGCTTGTTCACAGTTATGCAATAATCAGGAAAACTAAAGCATTTTATGACAAAAATTCCAGTAGAAAAGTTTAATATCAGTGCTTTTTCTAAGTAATGCCAAATTTAAAGTTTACTTGGACGGAAGGCTGAACACATTTTGTATTTGTTTTTGTAGGGGCTGTTTTTGTTCATTGTTTATAAGACTTAATTACAGCTGTTTATTTGTTTGGGTTTTTTTTCTGTGTGCTGTTTGCAGGAAGCCGACATTGCAATTGCCCCCCTGACGATTACCTCGGACAGAGAAAAAGTTCTAGACTTCACCAAACCGTTCATGAGTTTGGGAATTTCCTTAATGATTAAAAAGCCTGTGGACACAGATCCGCACGTGTTTTCCTTCATGCAGCCTCTGTCACGTGAGATCTGGCTGTGCACGGTGAGTTTCCTAGAAGTACGAGTACAAGTTTCCTAGAAGTGTGAGTATTTTGCTACGTAAAGTAGTGGAAAGAATTTTAAAATGTCTAAAATCAGAATATGTAAAACTACATTTGGTTATGTACCTTACAAGGATACCCGAAACGCTATATTCATATTTAATCTAACAATGTTAATGGAAAAATATATTGAGGCACAGAAGGGTCTGAAAGGTATGATGTGCTACTTAAAATGTTGAAAACAGTAGACATAGATGGACAAAATCTAAGAATTATTAAATATTCGTATCAAAATCAGTGCTGTAAGAATTAAGGGAGAGTATAGCGAATGTAAGCTGATCAATAGAGGACTTAGTCAGGGATGTGTCATGCCACCAGACCTTTTTAACCTGTACAGTGAAACCGTCTTCAGAAGCAAAGAAGAAAATTCAAATCCAAAAGTGAATGGAGAAAATAACATCAGATGATGACACAACTTTTGTCAGATTCAGAAAAGGGCCTTCAACTGTTTCTAGATGCTGTTGTGGCGGAAAATAAGCATAAAGGATTTTTGTCAAATGTCACAAAACAGAATGCATGGTTGTATCTAAAAACAAACTCAATCATAGTTGTAATCTAATAAGCAAATGTGAGACGATCGAAAAAATTCAGCAGTTTAAATCTTTTGGATATATGGTGCCAAACTTTCCACAGAAATAAAACGAAGAATTGCAAAAGCTTAACACAGCTTTAAAAAATAGAGTACAACCCTGAAAAATAGAAACATCTCAATGACTACTAAAATAAATTTTCTAATAGGCGATCTGTGGTCAACTCTTCTAAACGGTTGTGAAAGGTAGTGAAAAAGGATAGAAGCAACTGATGTGGTATCTTATAGACTTTTGTTGGGAATTTCATGGGCAGAAAAGAATTCAAATAATTGAGTACTGAGAAAGAATCCCACGAATTGGAACAATTTCGAAATGCATTCTAAGTCTTACTAAGACACTTGATTCGACTTAAAGGCTTTAGGCATCTTACTCTCTCTAGAAAAATAAAAAGCAAGCGAGGCAGGGGTAGATCGGTAGAATCTTAGTTGGAAAATTTATACAGATCGGTGATGGGAAAACTTTAGGAGAATAATGTACAAAAAAAAAGAGAAATTTTCATCGTCGTTAAAGCGCTAGCAAATTTTTCCATTGGTGGGTACTGATTACGTGTTCTATTGAAGCATAGTCTGAACCTGCTAGATTGAAAAAAAAATGGTATGGGTATAACGCCCCTATCAACACTGTTAGGTTATGTAAGAGGCGGGACCTCCGAGATTAACGTCCATCTCCGAAAGGACCGAGCCAAGTGGGAATTTAGTGTAAAGTGCCTTTCTTAAGGACACAACGTCGGACCAAGCTCAGGCTCGAAACCCCTAACCTGCAATCTCAGTGCAAGATTGACCTAATTCGAGCAATGCAATGCCCTGATTGGTGGCTTATGCAACGAACAACTAAACAACTATCTCAGCTCATGGGTACTCACTCGTCACATCATTCGTGCAGTAGTTTTGTGTTCATGATATTAAGTAGGCCTGGCCTACAGATTTGAAGCCTCAAAATAAGGAATAAGTTAGAAACGAAAGCAGTCTCAAGATGCTGCGACTTTCATCAGAAGCCCGTGAAGGGTTTGTTACAGGCTGGCTAGTCTGCTTAACATGTGGCAACTAACGAGACCAGTGATCTCCCCCTATCCGGAAGACCAAAGGCGACAACTGCAGCTCAGGGTCACCTGATGGTGCCCCAATACTAGATTGATCCGTTCCTGACAGTCGCTGAGACCACCAGGAACACCATCGGACCGGACGAACAGAACGGGCCCTGAGTTCCAGAACCGTACGGTGGAGATTGCACTCCACAGGCCTTTGGCGCAGAGAGCCATGCCGCAGGCCAGTTCTGACCCCTCAGCCTTGGCCGGCCTCTGTGGGCACAGTCTCACATGAACTGGAGGAACAGACAATGTGGAAGAAAACTACAAGAGCAGATTCCGCTTTGATCCGTCAAATGGGCGAGTTCGTGTGTGCGCTGATGCCAACGTCGTTCTAAATCACAGAACTGGAAAATGTTTTATTAGAGTATCCGAGCGGAGAAATGAATGGACAACCAAGATTGCCAATTCCTGTTTCATGTCTGACTCATTATGATGAAAAATGTGATTATTATTATTATTATTATAGTTATTATTTTTATCATTATA